GATTTGGGGCCCTCCCCTAATTACAGGGCTTTTAAAAGCGCATACGAGTATCCTGTTCTGATTGATCACTATCAGGAACCATGAGCATCATTTTCCAAAACTTCGTTTCTTCCTTTTGCCAACCCTAGATCTGCTGCTATTTAGCTGATGATTCAGGAGCATCCACAAAAGGCATCAGTCGCAATTCAGTTACATGGGGCTAATTTAATAAAAAATACCTTGTAAGATGATTGCATTACTAACAGAAAGGAATTTATCTTCCTTTTCAGCTATGCACGCAGTATGGACAGATCGGTCCCGTGGAACCTGCAGATCACTCTTAGAAACTTCAGAATACTTCTCAAATGCAATCATCTCATTTATTTATTTTTTAAATATTGAATTTATTTGAAGTCGTGCTGGTATTCTTCCCTTGCTTAAATAAAAGATGAAATCCTACCTTCTTGAAAGACAGATTTTCTAGACACATTGAAAAAGAGCTTTAGTAGTTTTTTTTGTTTTTAAATAATGAAAGTCATCATTCTGGATGGACATTGTGTTTTTTTCTCAAACCACATTTCCCCTCCAATAAATTCGGCTGCCAGCTTACCAACAGCGTTTCTGCGTGTCAAACCCAGCGTGCCATTTAATCAGCTTAGTTGGGCTGCAGATTTGCACTATTAACGAAGTGGACTTGGGCACCAGGCACGGCGCACTGAGTGGCTCCGGCTCGGCACCCAGCCTGACTCGGGCTGGCCAACACCTCTGGTTGAGATGCATCCAGTTGAGAACTCGTCTCTGCTCTTCTGTAGAGAAAAGAGCATCCTCTATTAAAGGCCCTGGCGATGTAGGCAACTTCTGAACGGACCTTCCAGCTCTGAAGATGCCTCTAATGAAGCTTTAAAAATTCTGGCTTTAGCCCGCTGTTCCTTTTGATATTTCCGCCTTTATCAGTTTGGTCTCCGTCATTACTCTTTCCATCTTATCATTGCTCAAGAAAAGCTTTCACAGAGACTGCCTTATTCCTCCGAAGGCTTTGAGAAGCACCCCTGTGTGTCAGTGGCACCACTATCGCACTGGCGCCATCTCCACAACAGGCGCACGGACAATTAAGTCAGAAGCAGATAAAAGCAATATTCCCTTCCTACTTGGTCGAAATGGGATTTGGATTTTTTTTTTTTGGGGGGTAAAGAAAATGACCTTGTTAATTTTTAAGACACCCCCCCAGGAGAGCCACGATCGTCGCTTCCCTGTCTCACGGTCGTCAGGAGGAATTACAAGGATTATGGTGCTTAAAACTTCCTTCGCATCCAGACGGATCAGGTATGCAGTTTGTCTCTTCGCAGCCTACCAGGAGGAGTATTCATAGTAAATGCTGTTTTATGGAAGTCATTGATAAGGCAGGTTGCTCTCCAAGAAAGGGAGATGAAGTGTCTGCGTTCCAGCAAGGCCCTCTTGGGGCAGCAGAGAGGCAGTCGGAGCCCAAGGAGAAGTGTTTGAAATCTTCACAAGATTTAGCTATTTTTGTTACACGGGACAAAATATCACGTAACAGCTCCTCTCCAGGCACAGAGAGCAAATACGTGGGAGGTTTGGAGGGAGGCTGGGCTCTGGTTTCAGCCAGGCTACACTGCTTTACCCGGCTGGTAGTGCACAGCCCTCGCGTTGCTGAGTTCAGCCCAACACTGCTCTGCTTCTGAGAACTGAAGGAAGCCCAGAGAAAATAACCTACATTTACCGTTATCTTACTGATAATGAAAATAAGGTGATACCTGATAGCTCTAATGATTTCAAACCAATTTAGAAACAACTCTCGTCTTCAGCTCGACAGAACCAACCTGAGGACTTTCTGCAGGACCCGGAGCCCGCATCCTCTCACCCCAGCAAAAACAAAACCACAACTGGAGATGAAGCTACAACTGGTTTTGCTTTGCTAAAAGGAAAGACGTTTCTGACATGAAAAGCTGCAGAAAGCTAAGTGAGGAGTATCTGTGTCAAAATATGATCCTGTTAAAAATCATCACTTCTTTAATCTATTATGTAGCTGAAGCTCAGGATTTGGGTTTGTTATTTCTTTACCTCCTGGTAGCGGTTAGCAGACCACAAATACACAAACACCGCTTGCTTGTTCAGCCTGATTCTAATCTCAACCAAAACAGCCCAAATTACTGCTGGAATCACCATCTGCAGCCTGCTGACGGCACAGAAAGTGGCAGCGTCAAAAAAGAAAGCAAAACTCCGAGAAGAGCTTCATTCCTTCCTCCCTTCTTCTCTACCCACTGCAGCCCGGCTTTTAACCCCCTCTTTTCGCCCTATTTGAAACCTAAACACTATCTGGAGCTTTTTATTCCGACAAAGCAGCACTGGAGGTAGTGAGCAGAGACCTGTTAACATCGACCCGTTGGCACCGCGAGCTCCTGATGGCAAAGATTGTGCCCTTGGCTTTGTAGGGCCGTGCAGGATCCAGGCACCGGCACAGCAGCTCCCCGGGATGCAGAGATTCACATTCATGCCTCAAAAATTTAATACGTTCTTTTATGTACCCATCCGAGCTTATTTTACATGGAGCGGTTAAGCTGAAGGAAAAGAAGCAGGAAAAAAAGGAGAAATGGATAAAGAACCTTTGTCCTAAACCCGTTTTCTCTTTGCTTTCTTTGGAAGACTCATCTGAAAAACCGCTCCTGTTGCAGACTGCTCTTTCATGACATTTAGCCTTAATCTTCTCTCTCTTCATTTCACTGCTTTATTTCCAGCTGTAAGCCCTACACTACCCCGAATATTTCCTTTTTAGCTTCAGTTGTTTACAATTGCAGATATATGGAGGCTGGTAAGTCTTGCCTTGCCCGTTCTCTTTTCTTCTTCCTTTTTTTCTCCTTCAGAGACCGGACAACGGCGCGCTCAGGTGCCTCTGACAAACAGGGCACAGCACCATTTTAGCCCAGAAGCTGTAATCCTAAATCATCTGCCCAGAATCCCTCCAAGTGAATGGCCGCACAGACACAGCTTCTGGAGGTCTCCAAGCCCAACCTCCTTCTCAAAGGAGGTCCAGGTGGGTCAGGATATGCAGGGTGCCGCCCAGCCGAGCTTCACGTACCTCTGCAGACAGATTTTATGACCTCTCCAGTGAGCGGCCACCCTCCCGGTGGCTTTATTTCCCTTACATCTCACCGGAGCCTCCCTTTTCCAGCCCGTGTGTTGCCTCTCCCCTGTGCAGCACCAAGACAAGCCTGCCTCTGTCTTCTCCAACCAGGTAGGAATGCAGCAAACCCCTGAGTATCTCCTGCTCATCCTGCAGATAGAAACTGGGCCCCACTTACTGCTGAAATGAAGCCTGAACACGAGGGGAACAGGGGAAGTTGAATAAACCTCCTTAAATGCAACCAATGGCTCCATTTAGATGTTTCAGCTGCTCCTTCCACCGCTCGGCCCGGCTACACCTTTAGCATGCAAACAATTCTCAGCTGCTGCCACCAGCTCAGCAGGGGAAGATTTAAACGGGGATTTTCTTACTTCGTAACTTTTCATTTCTTGCTTGTCAAGGCCCAAGACACTCTGAATTCTGTGTACTCTACGAGCAACAGATACTGCCAACCAATTTATTTTTTTTTTTTCCCAAATAAGGCAATATTTTCAGAAATGGTGTCCCTTCAGGCAGTTGAGGTTACCGAGTCCCCACCACGGCCCTGACTTCCTCCGCAGCTGTGGGGCTCCTGCAAGGCACCGAGCTTCGCTGGCCTCTCGTCCTCACAATCCGGCTGGACACCCACTGTGCTTGGGCACTCGTCACGCCTCTCCTTCTCTTTCAGGGCTTCTGGCCTGCTGCAGTCATGTCTTAACACCTTCCAGACCCGGCTCGCCGTGGGTTGAAGTTTAGGCAGTGTCCTCCACCAACCCAGGCAGCGCTGCCGTTCAGCGGCCGTGCAATGAGCCCCAGGGAGCCAGGCTGAGCAAGTCACCTGGCCAAAACCTACCTTTTTTTTTTTGGCCAGGGTGAGGTGGTTGGAGAAAAGAAGGCAAAATAAGAGCTTTTACTTTTTTTCTGTCGAATAGGAACATGAGCACTAACGCAAAAGGATCCAGTAGGGGCAGAGGCAGTCGGTCCTCGCACATACTTTGTTCGTCCTCTCTGGTGATGCCTCCCGACTTCAGTGCGTCAGGCCTGCCTTTTTATCGCTGTCATTAACACAAATACTTAAAATCATCGTTACGACCGTCCTTGAGGAACTCTGCTGTGAACTTCGTGGTACCTTGCCAGGTCCCCTTCCAGCCACATGGCTTTGAAGAGCTGAATGGGCTGGATAGACCTTGTAGTACTTTCTACATTCTACAGCTGAACTAGAGTTTCTAATAAAAAATGCTATCTCAGTGTTTCACTGAAATATTTTTACAAGAATGGCACCTTTCTTAGCTGAATGGGAATTCCCCATGGAGAACAACATAGTCTAAAATAGCTCCAAGACAGCAAATCTATCATTTTGCTCCCTGGGTGCTCTCACCTGCCTTCTTCTACATCACCAGCATGCACTGAACCCCCCTTGAGGTTCCCAGAATGCCTCCTCCCAGCTTCTTCCCCATCTCTTCCCATCAGGCATGTCCCAAACATCTCACGAATATCAGCTCACCGTCCCAGAGGAGCTCACGTAAGGCACTGTGTGCAGGGGGAGGTGAGAGAATCCCAAAGGCTCTGTGCTCATGGCCACTCCTAGGCTCTGCCTCCTACGACAGGATTTCTGGCATGTTGGTCTGTGCACTGAAAACCTCCTGCCTGACTTCAGGGACACCAAGTCAACCACGTCCCCATACCCTTAAAAATAATATGCTGGGTGATTCAATCCAGAACACTGCCATAGGATGCTGTGGGGGACAGAAACAGCAATACCTTCAAAGAGGAGGCTAGTTACAGACTACAGAGCCACCGGTAACCATCAAAAACACATGCTCTGAGTACAACCTCAATTTCCAGAAGCCTTTACCTCTGCCAGCACGGTATACCCGAGGTTGTGACAATCAATGGAACATACCTTCATGCATCCACTTTTGCCAAGCCTCCTCCCAGCCACGAGGATCTGGGGTCTATGACTCAGAGACTGCGGTCTATGTTCAATCCAGAAGTCTCACTGATCTTCTGACTTCTCTCCTCTGCCTCTTCCCTCTTCTTCAAGCTTTGCTTTCCTGCCAGCGCAGACCCAGACTGATCTCTCAGCTCTTAGCGCAGCTGCTCCTGATATTTCTTCATCCACCCACCCCCCAAATTAAACCAAATTCATTTTCACCTGTGCACTCCCTCTCATTTCTCTTCATCATCATTTATTTTCTCATTCCACATCAATAACAACCTCATAAGCTAAAAATATGACGACTACCTCCTATTAACCTGGTAATAGTCCCTCACATTACGAGTCCCTTGGCCTAATGCACTTTCGGTTCCCATCTTCAGTGTGATTTTATCCGCTTTCATCTTCCCCGTACTTAATCAGTTGTACTACAGGTGGAAGCGCACGAGTATGCTCAGTCACCACTCTTGCATGTCAATGGAGCACACACAACAATTTGGGGGAGGAAAATAAATGCTAAGTGAACTTGCATCAAACAGATACTGGGTTCTCACAAGAAAAGTATAATTTTTTGCAGAAGTAATTGCGAAAGAAGAAAGAAACACGGCAAAGCAGACAGCAGCAGCAGAACTGCAGGACGCTCTCAGTCTGCTGCCAGGGAGAAAGCTCGAATGGAGGGGACAAGTAGTTCACGGCAGTGCGACTGCCTGCAAAACCTTGGCCAAATTTGGCTTCGCCTGCTTATTTTAATCTCCTAGGCAGTGTTTGGCAACTACCGCTCAGAAGAATAAAACTCTTTCATTGGTAATTTCGATATTGCTTGGTTAAAGGTCTGTGCACTTGCTGGCAGAAGTTTTGCAAAGCTAAGGTGGCTTGAGGGCTGAGGGGAAGCAAGGCTTGACCCCAGCTACACAAAGAGAACAGCAAATTCCACTAAAATGAAAAAGTGGTGATATTCGAGGACCAGTGGGCTATTTTTTAATTATTATTTATTTTTTAAATAGCCAGAAATTTAGGTCATGGATTACCCTCTACTCCCTGATAAACAGGTCCAATTTTGAGGCCCCTGAGCACTCTGATGGTGCTGCTCCGCCTCAGGACTTCCAGCCACAGCCCATCAGCCCTCCCGTCAGGTTGGCTAAACCCTAGAGAAGTTGCATGACTTAGAGTAACACAACTGTAAGACAGGACAGTTAAACATTACGCATTTAACATAAAAATATTCAACACAAGTAGAAGATTCACATGTCAACGTCTTTGTTGTTTAAAGCACAATATAGCTATTATTGCACCACTTAAAACAAGTTTTGTTCATCTTGAAATGCAGACACAAACTTCAAACTCAAAGTAGTTAGAGCACTAAATTTTATAACTTTGGATTGAACTCTGTGACTCTTTATGGGATCAAAACGAACGAACCAATCAAGAAACACCCAAACCAACAGAGAAAACGTGGACACAAAGAGTAGATATCACAGACACCATTTTAGAAGTTGAATGATACTTCCAGGATCCCTCACTTCGGGTTCATTGACAATGAGGTTAAAAAGTCACAAACTACTGCTGTATTTGGGAAAGGAACCTCCATTTTAATAATATTTCAAACTGAGTATTTAATATTTGCATTTCATGCTGGTGCAAACATAAGCTAGAGCCCATAAAACAAAAAAAAAAGTGCAAAGAAAGGATTTATTATAACTTTTAGAATAATTATGGAGTAATGGTTGCATTACATGAGTATTTTTGACATCACAGAATTGATAAAAATATGTAAATATGCACGTGGTAAATGCGTGCTTGAACTTGTAAGCAAGCAAACACTCAATAATGGAAATAAAAGAAAATACATTCATTAATGTTAGGTATATCAAACAATAGGTGAAAAACCAACTGAGGTGTAGAAAAAATTGGAAACTGAATATGTTCAGTGTCAAGGATTTGAGCATAAAGTGAGGGTAGCATGTTGGGTAAATGAGGAAAAGTTACAAATAAGCAATAGTAGAGATTATCTAGTAGTGATACTGAATTGCGAGCGCAGAAGCACAACTGACTTACAAGACTAGACATAGTAACTTTGTTTTGTATTTATAAAAGCTTCAGAGACCACAGGCAGATGCTATATACACACCAGGTTATCTTCACAATGGGAATTTCAACGAGAAGTTATAGTTCTGATGTAAACAAAGAAGTTTCATAAAATGCTGCAAAAACATGCGTGGCAAGAAAGAAGACTGCAGGAAACAGGCAAACATTCCCCAAGCCAAAGTTACAGGAGCAGTCACTCATCAACAGCCAAGAAGCTGCTGAAAGCCCAAAAATCGAACTGCTCTTTGGAAGATCCTTGAAGAAAATTCTCAAACCTGAGACCCAGGGCAAGCCTGCATGGGAAATCACAAAGAACTACACAATACGAGCTCCTCCTCATCAGGAAGGTAAGAGACAACCAAGCGCAACTTCTGCCGTGTTTCCACTACCATCATTTTTCAAAGCAAGTTAAATCCTTGACGCACTGGCCTAAGAAAATGCCTTCAGGAGAAATGAGGAAAAGGCAGCAGACCCCCGTGCCACTCGCTGCCCACCCTACGGACATGTGGGATGGCAGAGCTGACCTTTCTGACACGGACCAGCAACAGCAGCACCATCTGGCCCAACTCTGGGCTCCCTTACCTTAAAAGCACTGAGCAAATACGGGTAACTGTACTTCCACCTTGAGCCACGCTTTCTGCTACGCTGAGATCACACAGAGAGATCAGTCCCTGCAAACTGTCAAGGGGAGCAGAATATTACTTTCATCGTATTTCAATAAATTATAGCTTCAACGGGGCTCGGAAGGCTGGGAGCTTCAGAGCAGCACATCTGAAGCACTTCTGCATGCAGTGAAAGCAGGTGAGGGCAAACGGGGTGTTTTGGGGGGCTCCGGGGGTGTCACCCACCAGCACGGCCCCTGGCTAGCAAATGCACCACTCTGGATGGGGCAGCAACTCACAAAAAGGCTCCTTGTACTTTAGATGCAATTTCTCCCACTTCGCAAATGTCAAAGTAGGCAAACTCATATTCCTATCCTAGCACCAGAAGTATCAAAATAAAGAGAAATACCTTATTTCTAAGCTTATGATTGGAAATTACAAAACAAAACTCATCTAAAAATGTTGTGGCTGTACAAGAAATCTCGTCTTGAATCAATGAAAAATCCAATGAATTAATGAGTAGCTTTCTTCTGAGTAGGTATTTGAAATTTGGTAATCAATTTGTGATTTGCAAAACGTATTTCCATCCTGCAGGAAACGACATTGCCTTCAAAAGCTACTTAAGAAATGTGCAAGTTTTCAGGAAAATACCCCAGATATACCCTCTTCTGCATCAACACAACTTCATTTCTGAGAAAACAATACTGTATTTAACTTTCAAATGTTGTCAAATATGTGAATTTCAATTACAACTTTTCAGCATTTTTTTTTTCTCTCCAAGTTCTGAAATGAATGATCTGAGAACCTGATGATGGTATTGGAAAGTTTAAAACACTTAAATTTGTTTTGATCAAAGCCTTCACAGGTCAAATTTGAATAACACACAACTTTCCACTGTTTGCTCTGGAATGAAAACAAAACAAACCAACCACCCAACAAAAAAAATCCCTGAAAGTCAAAGGGATTTTTTGGTGTGCGTGCCTGTATGTGAATGTACTCCTCTGACTGTATTTAGGTACCTCAAAGATATTTTAATAATCTCCTCTCATATTCTTTAACATTGCCACTTTTGAAATGTTATCACATGTGAGAAATTAAGTGCATAGTTATTAGAAACATGAAAGAAACTGATTCATATTTATAAAAATGGAAGTAACGTTTACAGATGCATCATACGCCATTTATTCTGACATTCAGCCACAATTAAAATCATTCGATCCTGTGAAGCAGAACGGCCTTCACATACAATTCTCGAGGCCTAAATCTGAATTTATCCAGAAAAAAATGGTGCTTTGGTGACGTACACATAGGATACCACCACATCACGGGGCAAAACCAAGCCCTCCCAAGACTCCCTCTCCTCAGGGTAACGGGATGTGGTACGAGGCCATGGAGGGGCAGAAGCACTTCTGCCCTGTATGTGGCTGGATGCAGCCCTGTGATCGTAATTAGATTTTTCTTTTATCAATGACTATTTTAATTACTTTTACCAGAGAGTTAAGCAGGAGAACCGAGGTGGTATCTGTAGGCAAAAATCTCTCTTGGCCTGCTGAGCGCTGACTGGGCTCTCTGCCCTGAGTTGGGATGGATGGGCTTTATACAAAGGTATATTTTAACAGCTTTGATTAAATCATCGATGAGCTCTGGAAAAGGCCCTGTTTCAGTTTGTCCAAGCACACTGAAGACAAGTTGGGAGGAAAACTCAGTGCCTTCACCCCAGTTCCTGCCATGGCCTCTGCCTGAGGTGCCTGTGGCATGGCGCCCGGCAGCCATGATGGCCACACTGTGAGGAAGGTCGTTCATCTGAGGAACATCACGCTCTGTTTTCATTATATATGACTAGTTTTTATTGTGGCCTACCCTATTGATCTCAGGAGGTCTTTCCCAGCCTTAATCATTCGTTGACTGGCTGGATATTCAGCTAACAGAAGAAACTGAAATAATGTTTTCTGTCTTGTCCCCTACAGATGATGGCTTCCGAGCTGAGCAGATCCACTGCAAACACAGAAATTTGCCTTTAACTGGTATTCCACAGTACTCGTGCCATTAACTGCTGCCTGAACGAGGACACTGGCTGTTTTTAGGGAGAGTCGACTTACACGCATATCATTTATTTACAGAACCAAATATACTTTCTCAATTCTGAGAGCTGTTCAATTCTGAGGCTGCACAATCTAAATAAGATCCTATTTCAGTCTCCTAAAGTAGATTCCCATATCACTTTTATATCTGTCCAATTAAAACTGCATAAGATGCTGAATGTTTTCAAAACAGAATTTTTAATGGTGCTTTATCATTAGTGATAAATGAAGCCACAAAAATAACTACAAGCTTAGGCTGTACACTGTCTTGTGAAATCCCGTTACGTATATAATTTGTACCCATGGTAGTTTGCTTTCTTAAATCTGAAAGGAGGCTCCTTTTTGGTATTCAACTAGAATGAATATAAACTTGTAAGACTTCAGTATATTCCTAGTTCCATTT